CTTGGACCTACCCCTTGCTCGAGACATGGTCACCACGGGGTGGTCGAGTGGTAGCGTCCACATGACATGGCTGGCCCAGGGGCAACCGAACAACCTACATCGCATACCTTTCACGTCTAATCTGAACCTACATAATCGAGTGCCATAGGCTCAATTCTAGCTCGTTTTACTTGATTCTTGGACCTACCCCTTGCTCGAGACATGGTCACCACGAGCATACGTCCGATCCGGGAATCCGCGTCCGGGACCGACATATCAAAAACAACAGCAGATTTGATCCGCTTCTTCAGGGTGTCCAGAGCCCGGGGATCGACGTCGAAACCTTGCTTGAACCACGCAATCCATTCGCCCTCGGACACGTCATCGGGATCCTTTCCCATGTCCCATTCGGCAATACGTTGCTTCGTCGCAGGCTCGATACACGCCCTCACGGGCATAATGAACGGTCGGACCCCGTTGGCAGTCAGCGCATTCGTCTGGCTGATATACAGATTGTAGGCGGCCATAAAAACGCGTCGTTCTTCCTTGGTGGATCCCTTGAACGTCGGGTTCTTCGGGAGGGCCGGGGCGTTGTGCAGGTGCACGTCGTTCTGTCCCATATCCACATCTTCCTTGTCCAGCGTAGGTCCGGGCGCCGTCCCGGATGTACCGCCAAACCCGGGAGCCGCAAACGTCGCCGGTCTCCCGTAACTCCAGGCCTCATCAACCGCCACCGGTTGTCGCCTTCCTTGTGGTGACCGGAACAGCCGCCGCGCAGTCGCACTGGTCCGGGGCCATCCACGGTCTTCAAAGCGGTCCACGCTTGGTGCACGGGCCGCAGGACTCCTCGAGCGATCCGACCGGGATCGAGCTCGGACAGAGTCCCCGTGGTCGCTAACAGGTAGCTCCACGTCCAAGGCATGCTCATTTCCTGTTCCGGGAAACTCCATGCGTTCAGTCGCTAGCGTGTCTGTAAGACAGCTAAAGAATTCCTTGTTGTCTTGCGCCGGTGTTCGCAACCGACGACTACCGTGTTCACAACGGTGACCTCGATGACAAATCCAAAAGTAACTTCATTATCCAGTCAGTCAGTCAGTTCCCTCCTATCACTTCACTACTCTCTACAAAGTCATGCATCGCACAGTGTACCATCAGCTCGGAACATATGCCGCTCCGATCCAGGTCATATTTCACACTCTTCAAATGTCGTTCGTGACCAACATTCGGCTACCCACACTCAGGCACGGGGAGTCGAACAGAGGCTCGGCCGATAACAGCCACTCAAACTACCTAAACTCTCAGACCCGATAAAGGGGTCGATACACTCTACCAATCTATATGGTACTCCAACCACCAAAAGTACCGACCAATGGACGGCAAGGAGCAGACGCCACAGGTCTACTCGTTTCCGTCTCAGTAATTCGAGCCGAATACATCACCATGCCAAACGTCCGTACAAGCAAATGGATCTGGACGACGCTTTGAACCTGCTTGGAAGCCCTCCCACATCATGACTCTACTTCGTGCTTGCACTTAGTGGCTATGCTATCAACAGGAGGCCGAGACAGAAGACGATGAACAAGACAAAGGAATTTCCAAGAGCGTCATTCAGCAATATGCCGTGCGAGTTATTCCAGCAGTACAAGCCGCCAACTGATCCCAGCATACGTGTAAAGCGGTAGTCGTGATGAGAAGTGGGTGTGGACATTTGGTTGGAAACATTGATTTCTTTACATTTATTGCTGTTGACAAAAATCGTACTTGAAGTAACTGGTATGGTAGTAGTATGTACTAGTACTATTAACTAATATTTAATCGTTTGCTCTAACGTTACTTTACAGTAACGTTAGATGAAATTGTGCATCCACCATGAACAGTAAATGCAAGAAAACAATGTTGCATTATTATCACATGCATCCAGTCATAATTGATGACTCATTCATTCTGACGAGGTCGCTTGACTCCCTTGTTGGTCCCGTCGGTACTCGTATGCGTCACTTCGCGTGGCACTGCTAGCGTAACTTCCATTGCATATTGCTTGATGTTGCGTAAGGTCAAGAATGGGTTCGTCGTGGTCCTACCATCTACCGTGACATACCGTTGGTGTTTGAAGTCGTCGAATCGATCTGGAGGAAGCACGAAGACCAATTTTGGTTGTTCAGGAGTTGCAAGGAGTTTTATGGCGCTGTCCAGACCTCGTTGCTTGCACGGGTGTGTGGCCCCAACAGTAACCTGGAGCAAGATGTCGGGCTTGACGATAGCGTCCACTGATGGGTAATTCTTGTTTTTCGGACGCAAGTAGACGCCGCTTGGAGCAGAGGCCACTTCGTTGTCCTTATCGAACATGACCGTTTGCTGTGGAGGTATCTCGACGATGCCTCGCGCTTCGTTGATGTCCCACGACACAAACGCAATCCCTTCGCCCTTGTTCATCACTTCGGCTCCAAGATCACCTTCTGTGTCCACCGCCCCGTCATCGGACTTCTCCTCGTCCTCGCCGCCTTTGTCATCTTGATCCACGTTGTTGGCGTCACCACTCCCTCCTTCTGGCATAAGGCGCCGAATGCGAAAGCGCCCACCGCGCGGCAATACGGCATGCACGTATCGTTCAAAGACGATACCGCGTACCACGCCAAGTTGGTCAATGCCCTCCGATGCAGCCAAGAACTTCACAAGTTTGTCATGGTCGTCTTTGCACAGACGCCTGTACACCACGTCCTGGACATAAGGCGAGGCAAAGACGACGTGCTTGTTGATGAACGTTTTCTCGTTGACGTCGTAGTGGAGCAGACGATGCGACGCTTCAAACATGGCGTCTAGCTCTCCGATCGCATTCACCACCCAGTCGCAGTTCACCATGCCAAGTGCTCGTTCAAGCAACGACTGGTGTGTGTCCCTGAGCATATTCTCCAAAACGTAGCGAGGGACACCACCCCAGCGATGGAAGCAATCTGTGACCATGTTCACGTCAAGATCCGGATACAGCAGCTTACGGCACGACAAAATCTCGTCCAAGGTCCAAACAGGCATGTAGCGGAAGTCACAGTTGTCGTTGTTGAATGAGAACCAAACCTCGTGTCTCGGCGACGTCAGTAGGATCGTCATTGCTTGGCACTTCTGAGGCTTGACGGCGTCCACAATGTAGTACGTCGTTGGCAAGCGGAGGAAGGCCACGAAGTCATTTTGGGTTCCCTCGACCACGGTGTCACCAGAGAACAAGTAGCGACACATCGAGGCCCCGCTCTCGTACACCACCGTCTTGTTCTCACGAGCCAGTTGAAGCAAGATGAAAATGCCAAAAAATGTCTTGCCAATGCCTGGGTTGCCGAGGATCACGAGGTGCGGGGACTTAGGGTCCTGGATCAGCTTCCAACAGACCTTCCACAGTGGGGGGTAGCAAGGCCGAATATACACTTTCAAGCCGAGCGCGGGGTACCCCAGCAGGAATGCTCCTACGGGCAGCTCGAGAATTGCATCCGCCACGACCAGAGTTGAATAGTCCTGAAGAGCCTTCCAAAACGCCACCAACGCCGGAGGATACAGGCCCATGCGTTTCGTCACTGGAAATCGAACATCGTTCACAACAAACTCTGCCGCGCGCCACGTCGGAACGATCACCAACACGTGGATCTCACCTGCGGTAAGGTTGGTTGGGAAGCCGAATGCCGCGTCGCCGACTGTTTTGGTCGAATCCATTGCGGTGCCTTGCTGCATGATGTCCTTGATGGTTTCTTGAACCAGTCGTGTCTTCAGCATCTCCACCGCGTCGCCTTCCATCGCCAACCACTTGCCGTCTTTCGTCTTCGCGAGGTAAAGGTCAATATCCTTGGCTCCAATCGAAAAGGGGTTGTCGTACTTGATCATCTTCTTTACGTCCCATACTCGCTGGTTGTCCTCGACTTTCAGACAGGTGGTGCATCCGTCGTGGATGACCAAGTATGTCAGCACTCTCATCCCTTGTTCACCAATCCGAAAATGACACCTCAGCGCTTGAACGAGAGGTGTTTGTTGTAATAGTAACTTCAATTGTTCAATTTCAAGCATGCAAGTGATGTGAATGCTAACTAGTACCAGTATTGACTATGGTTGCATTACCAATGTTATCGAGTTGAAAGATGCACGGGCTTAACTGTAAAGGGATGTCCAGGGGGACGTTCAAAGGGACGAGCAGGGACATGAACAGATACGGCAATTGTGCACAAGACTGCATGAGAGACGTTGAATGAGCAACAGTCATACTGTACTAGTATGCTAACGTTTCTGTTGACACAAGGCTCGAGCCTCCGACCATTACTTTACAGTTAGGTGATACTTCGAAGTATGTGTGATTTCTATGCAATAATAATACGGAACGACTTTCTGGGTGGATCTATTTCCTGAACTGTTGGGATAAACCTTGAGCTTAGTATTGAATGGATCATAATACGCAATATAAATATTTTGAATTTCATCCTGACTGGTGCACAAGTGGACGGCTTCGGAAACCCGCGTAAACTATAATTTGCGCCTGCACTGGCTCGAAATTATCCGGGGAATGCGGGAACTGGACGAAAACTCATGGTAACACGAAGATATGTTAGGCCAAAATCGAGGCATTTCTGGATGGCGAAAGCAAATTCTGGAGTTTCTTCGGAGTCATCCAACTTCTTGGAGAGGGACTTTGGCTGCTGTACCGCTTTCTATCGCTCACTGCAAATGTAGTGCTTGCATATTGTCAAGTGGTGCTTTTCCCTCGCCTGTGTTCACGCCTTTTGTCTTCGCCTATTTCTCCCAAACTCTATCGCCTAGTCTATCAACTCTGACAGGCCGAGACAGTGGCCGCTTTATACCTGCATGTTCTGCATATTCTTCATGTCGCAACCCTACCCTAGTGATTGCTCACCCAATCACGGCTCTAGCACAAGGAAAAGAGCGCTGATTCTCACAGGTCAGTGTTTCCCTTTGGCTGAGTTTTAGCCAATAGGAACGAAGCTAGATAGTTTGTAAACGACTGAATA